AGGCATTAAAAACAGAAAAGGGATAAAAAACAAAAAATGCAGAGATGTTTAAGCAGATTTTTAATTTTGAAATAGGTAAATATGAAAAGGAAAAACTTTTCTTGCAGGAGAGCTTAAAAATTAAACTTAAGGCAATTTTATTTCAGTGTTGTGCTAACAATAGCCTACAAAATTTGAGACATCACCAGTAGTTCTTACTGAAGAATAATGGGAAAGAGGACTTCTGGCCAAGATGGAGGTATAGGTAGACACACTGTGCCTCTTCACACAACCAAAATTAAGGACAACAAAAAATTAGAAACAAAAAAACAACCAGAACTGACAGAAAATTGAACTGTACAGAAGTCCAACAACCAGGCATCCAGACTGGTAAGAGAGGCGGAGTTGGTGGCCAGTGGAGAGGGGTCTTGGCAGGAAAAAGCGGTGGGTGATGGATCTGGGTACGCAGATGGCGGCTGGCAGGCCCCAGGCACGGGGTGGCAATGAGCAGACCCAGTGAGGTGCACAAGGCAACTGGCTGACTGTGGTCACACCTTCACCCACAGATAAACCCAACGAAAATGGGCAGCGAGACAGACTTCGCAACCCAGGGTCCCAGGGCTGGGAAACAAAGCCTAAAAGCACCAATTGAAAACATTTGTGGGCGTTGAGGCGCTGGGAGAGGCTCCCAGCCTCACAGGAGAGTTTGTTGGAGAGACCCACAGGGTCTTAGAATGTACACAAACCCATCCACCTGGGAACCAGCACCCGAAGGGCCCAATTTGCTTGTGGAAAGTGGCAGAAGGGACTGAAATCCGAGAGAGAGAAGTGGGCACCATTGTTCCCTCTCTGATCCTGCCCCCACATACAGCATCGCAACCCAGTGACTGGGTTGCCCGCCCTGGTGAACACCTAAGGCTCCACCCCTCATATATAACAGGCACGACCTCACCAAAAATGGCTAATCAAAGCCCCAGAGCCAATACTTTTTTAAAAAATTTTTATTTATTTATTTTTAGAGGGGAAGGGAAGGAGAGAGGGAGAGAAATATCAATGTATGGTTGCCTCTCGTGCGTCCCTGCTGGGAACTGGCCTGCAACCCAGGCATGTGCCCTGACTGGGAATCGAACCTCAGTCATTTGGTTCACAGGCCCACGCTCAATCCACTGAGCTATACCAGTCAGGGCAGAGCCAATACTTTTAAGTGATCAAGAGATAGCCAACCTATCAAATGCACAGTTCAAAGCACTGGTGATCAGGATGCTCACAGAGCTGGTTGACTTTGGTAGCTAATTAGATGAAAAAATGAAGGCTACATTAAATGAAATGAAAGGAAATGTACAGGGAACCAATAGTGATGGGAAGGAAACTGGGACTCAAATCAATGGAGTGGACCAGAAGGAAGAAAGAAACAACCAAACAGAAAAGAATGAAGAAGCAAAAATTCAAAAAATATGAGGAGTGGCTTAGGAACCTCCAGAACATCTTTAAATGTTCCAACATCCAAATTATAGGGGTAACAGAAGGGGAAGAGGAAGAGCAACAAATGGAACACTTATTTGAACAAATAATAAAGGAGAACTTCCCCAATCTGACAAAGGAAATAGACTTCCAAGAAGTCCAGGAAGCTCAGAGAGTCCAAAAAAAGTTGGACCCAAGAAGGAACACACCAAGGCACATCATAGTTATATTAGCCAAGATTAAAATGAAGGAGAGAATTCTAGAAGCAGCAAGAGATAAGAGGACAGTCAACTACAAAGGAGTGCCCATCAGACTGTCAGCTGATTTCTCAAAAGAGACCTTACAGGCAAGAAGGGGCTGGAAAGAAGTATTCCAAGCCATGAAATCCAAAGACCTACATCCAAGATTGATCTATCCAGCAAAGCTTTCATTTAGAATGGAAGGGCAGATAGAGTGCTTCTCAGGTAAGGTCAAGTTCAAGGAGTTCATCATCACCAAGCCAAGGAGTTCATTTATTATATGAAATGTTCAAGGGACTTATCTAAAAAAAAGAAGATAAAAAATATGAACAGTGAAAGGACAGCAAACTCACAGTTATTAACAACCACACCAAAAACAAAAGCAAACTAAGAGGACAGCTAGGTCAGAAGTGGAACCATAGAAATAGAGATCGGATGGAGGGTTAGCAACAAGGCAGTGGGAGGAGGAGAAGGGGGAAAAGGTACAGATAATAAGTAGCATAGACAGTAGGTAGAAAATAGACGGGAGGGCAAAAAAATAGTTTGGGAAATGTAGAAGCTAAAGAACTTGTGACACATGGACATGAACTAAAGGGGGGAAATGGATGGAAGGGGTGTGCAAAGTAGAGGGGAATGAAGGAGGGGAAATGGGACAACTTTAATATCATAATCAATAAAATATATTAAAAAAATAAAACTAATAATGAAACCTAAAAAACAGAAAGAAAAAGAATAATGAGAGTCCTGGCTGGTGTAGCTCAGTGGATTGAGTGCCAGACTGTGAACCAAAGGGTCGCCAGTTGTTTCCCAGTCAGGGCATATGCCTGGGTGGCAGGCCAGGTCCCCAGTAGGGGGCGTACAAAAGGCAACCACACATTGATGTTTTCCTCTCTCTCTCCCTTCCCCTTTCTAAAAATAAATAAATAAAATCTTTAAAAAAAAGAATAATGGGAAAGAGAAAATCTTACCGAGTGTTGGATGCTCAGCTTATGGGACAAGGAGAAATCCACAATCACTGAGGAAGCAGCTTTGAGTGGTCAGTGCTGGGCTCCTAGGCCAGGACAGCAGACTGAAGCCTCAGCACTGAGTTTCTGCCTCCCAACACTTAATGAGATGTATTTTTAAAAAGTTAAAATTGTAAAAAAATTATAACAGCAATCTAATATAGAAATAGATACAATACACATTTTCTGAAGAAAAAATGAAAATAACTGGTGGTCACGAAAAGAAACAAGATCCAGGACATCCCTTCTTCTCCATAGTGGCATGGAGAAGCTGAGAAGATCCGGGGATTTCACATCGATATCTGAATGTCTGGGAAAAAGGGAACTGAGTGAACAAGGGGAGCAGCTGAAGTGGAAGGGTATGTCCCCTCCCCACGGGAACAGCATACACCCCCAGCTGGAGAGAACCAACAGGATCTCGTCCAAGACTCAGAAGACAGAGCAGATTCCAAATATTATAAACAAGGCTGCAGAAGGCCTAATGAGGGCTCCCATTCCTCTTGCTGCCCAATAGTAGATGAAATAATAGCCCACAAACTGCACCTTAGTATGTGGAGAAAAGAAACCGGTCTCAGAGATGGTGGGAAGAGTCAAGAAATCAGTAAGTATATATCTGAGCAGATAACCATCAAGGCTTATTGTACTGCACCTATAGTAACCCATTTACTTCTTATAATAATGTATAATAGGAACTGTATTTTCTCCATTTTAAAGAAGATAAAATTGCAGCACAAAGTCTTAAGTAACATGTCAGAGGTCACATAAACCACACGATTTGCATCAGAATTCAAATCCAGGCAGTAAGGCTCAGGACCTGAGCACTAACCATTACCCTCTACTGTTTTCAAAACAGAGTTGCCTCGTCAGAGCTGCCAAAGCAGAAGGAAATGACCTGGCATAAGCCAAACATATTACAGTAGGAAGAAAGGAGAAGAGAAGGAAGAAGTGGGTGGGGGTAGGGGAGGGGAGAGAAGCACGAAAGAGAATGAGAGAAAGGAAGAAGGCATACAAAAAAAAAAGATTACAAATGTAGAAGAAAATGTAGCCCAAGGAAGAGAAGGAAATTCCTCACAATATGGCATTAGATATTTTAACCACTGCAGTATGGTAAACTGTATTTTCACATATTTCATTTTATAATTGTTCTACTATATAAAAATACAAGGTTGAACATTTAAAAAAATGTTTCTTGCCCTTACATATTTCCTCCTCTTTTTTAGAAAATGCTTTATACATCTCCTTTCTTTTTGTTAGTTTTATCCATTTCTTATTTGTAGGAATTATATATATACTCTGGATACTAATTGTTTGTCAGTTATTTGTGTTGAAAATATTTCTCCTAGTTTCTGACTGTTTTTTCACTTTTTTAAAAAGATTTTATTTATTTATTTATCTTTAGAGGGGAAGGAGAGAGGGAGAGAAACACCAATGTATGGTTGCCTTTTGTGCAACCTGGCTTATTTCACTTAGCATAATGCTCTCCAGTTCCATCCATGCTCTTGTGAAGGGTAGGAGTTCCTTCTTTCTTTTTGCTGCATAGTATTCCATTGTGTAAATGTACCATAGTTGTTTAATCCACTCATTTACTGATGGGCACTTAGGCTATTTCCAGCACTTGGCTATTGTAAATTGAGCTGCTGTGAACATTGGGGTACATAGGTTCTTTTGAATTGTGTTTCAGGATTCTTAGGGTATAATCCCAGCAGTGGGATTGCCGGTTAAAAAAGGCAGTTCTATCTTAAGTTTTTATGGAATTCTATACTGTTTTTCACAATGGCTGCACCAGTCTGCATTCCCACCAACAGTGCACTAGGGTTCCCTTTTTTCCGAGACCTGGCCAACACTTGTGATTTGTTGATTTGTTTATGATGGCCATTCTCACTGGTGTGAAGTGGTATCTCATTGTGGTTCTAATTTGCATCTCTATGATGGCTAGTGATGCTGAGCATCCTTTCATATGTCTCTTGGTCCCTCTAAATGTCATCCTTGGAGAAATGTCTGTTCATGTCTTTTGCTCATTTTTTAATTGGGTTGTCTTCCTGGTGTGGAGTCATGTGAGTTCTTTATATATTTTGGAAATCAAACCCTTGTCCAAGGTATCATTGGCAGATATATTTCCACACACAGTTAGTTTCCTTTTCGTTTTGCTGATGTTTTCTTTAGTCATGCAGAAGCTTTTTAATTTGATGAAGTGCCATTTGTTTATTCTTTCCTTTCTGTCCTTTGCTCTATTGGACATATTGGTGAAAATATTGCTGTGTGGAATATTTGAAATTTTCCTGCCTATGTTTTCTTATAGAACTTATTGAGAGTTGTGAGAAAATGTGGAACCCTCACAAATTTGCGTGTCATCCTTACACAGGGCCGTGCCAATCTTCTCTGTATCGTTCCAATCTTAGTACATGTGCTACTGAAGCGGGCACTTGCTTTTAAACTTTGGAGTCCTTAATTCATCTAGAATTTGTTTTGTGCAGGATATGCGGTAGAGACCTAATTCTTTTTTATTAAAGATTTTATTTAGTTATATTTAGAGGGGAAGGGAAGGGAAGGAGAGAAGGAAAGAAACATCAATGTATGGTTGCCTCTCGTGCATCCCTTGCTGGGAACTGGCCTGCAACCCAGGCATGTGCTCTGACTGGGAATCAAACCATGGTTGTTTGGTTCGCAGGCCTGAGCTTAATCCACTGAGTTACACCAGCCAGGGAGACCTAATTCTTAATTTCACTTTTTTCAACATGGATAAATAATTGCCCCAACATTAAGTAGTCCATTCTTCACCCACCCAAATGAAATGCCCCCTCTGTCATCTACTAAGATAACACAGCCACACAGGTCCATGCTCTGGGCTCCACAGTGTGTTCCATTGGTCCGCACACCTATCCCTGCATCAAGGCCACACCGTCATGATGACTAATGCTTTGTTTAGTCTTGTTATCTAGAAAGGCAAGCTCTCTACCTAGTTTCCTTCATGAATGTTTGGATATTCTTGATCTTTTGATTCTCCCAGATAAATTTTAGAGTCGGCCCATCAAATTAAATTTTAAAACTCATTTTTGGATTTTGATTGCATTTGCACTGAATCAGTACTTCTCAATGGGTGGCAATTTTGGTCCCCAGGTGACATTTGATGATGTCTGCAGACATTTTTGACTCTCACAACAGGAAGACGTGTGTCTAATGGCCTCTAGGTCAGGGAGAATGCTAAATGTCCTACACTGACCAGCGTAGCCCTTAAAATAAAGAATCGTCTGGCTCAAATTGTCAATAGTACCGAGTTTAAGAAAACCACCACTAAATCTTTTCAATTTGGAGAGAACTCATACTTATATTTTTGAGTATTTCAATGGACAAACATGAATATTTTTCCATATATTAATATGTAGGCCCTCTTTAATGTATTTCAATTAAGTGTTATAGTTTTCAGTGTACAGATCTTATACATCCTTTGTAAGTTTTATCCCTAAGTAGATCATGATTTTTTGCTATTTTAAATGGTATTTTAAAAAATTATATTTATGATTTATTGATATTGTATGAAAATATAGCCAGACATCTTGTTAAAATGTAGCATTTCTTTTTAAAATTTTAACTGTTTTCAATTATGGTTTATATTCAATATTATTTCTTTTATTAGCTTCAGGTGTACAGCATAGTCGGTAGACAATCACATACTTTACAAAGTGTTCCCCCTGGTATTTCTAGGACCCACCTGGCACCAAACGTAGCTATTACAATCTTATTGACTATATTCCCTACGCTGTACTATCCAAGATTATTTTGTCACTGCCAGTCTGTACCTCTTAATCTGCTCACCTCTTCCACCCAGCTCTCTAACCCTCTTCCTTCTGGCAACCATCAGTCTCTTCTCCGTATCTGTGAGTCTGTTTCTCTTTCTTTGTTCGTTTATATTGTCCCTTAGATTCTACATATAAATAAAATTATATGGTATTTGTCTTTCTCTGACTGACTTAGTCACTTAGCATAATGCTCACATTTAGTGTTTCTAATATGTCGATATTTTCAAGTTTTCTATATGAGAATCCTCTCATCTGCAAGTAAATGTGTTTCTTCCATTTCAATACAATGCTTTTAATTTCTCTTACTTGTTTTATTATGATGGTTAGGACCTTCAGTACAAAGCTGAATAGAAACATGGAGAATGGGGACCTTTTCTTCTACCTGATCCTAAAAGGAATACTCCACATTCAAATGAATGGAAATTTTTAATTTAGATATTAAAATTTAAACAATGCATTTTTGCTAGGAAAGGTCATCTGGGTGATATAGATTCCTTGAAATGTTAAGACCTTCTTTATAACAAATATAATCACTTGTAAAACCCATGTTTTAAAAAATGTTTTATTTACTGACCTATCAATAAATGAGAGATATTTTGAAATCACCTAATATAATGGTCAGTGTTTCAATATCACCCTATCATCCTATTCTACCAATTTTCACTTTACATACTTTAAAGTTATTTTATTGGGTATATTCTCATTTAGAAATGTTATTATGTCTTTCTGGGGAATTAAATCTTTTATCATTGTCTTTATAATGCTATGGCTTTAAATTCTACTCTGATTTAATAGAGCTATACCAGCTTTCTTCAGTTAGTATGTGCCTGTTTTATCTTTTTCCACCCATTTGCCTTTCACCTTGCTGTGAACTTCCGCTTATAGCATATGCCTGGATTTCTTTCTCCCCCATTTGATAATCTCTGCTTTTTAAAGATGAGCTTAATTCACTAATATTTATCGTGATTATTAATATATTTGGACTCATTTCTATCATTTTACTTTTTTGTTTCCATTTGCCTCACTTTATGCTTTCTGCCCTTCATAAAAGTAAGTTTTTTTCACTTCATTTTTTCTCAGTACTTTGGAATTTATGCGTGCTATACTTCTCTTCTTTTAGCATTTACCCTTAAAAGTTTAGAGTCAAATAATATCCTTACCCGTCTCTCAAAAAATACAAGCACCTGAGCACACTATAGACCCACTCCCAACTTAAATACTATGGCTACTCAGTATTTTAGTTGCCTTTTGTTAAAACTCAAAAATGTGACATTATTTTATACAGAAAGTATTTTGTATACATATTTACTAATGGTGTACCCAGCTATTCTTCTGGAATAACTTTCCTTCTTTTTAAGGTATGTCCTTTAATGGCCTTGGCTGGTGTGGCTTAGTGGACTGAGTGCCGGCCTGCAAACCAAAGGGTCACCAGCGGGCTCAATTCCCAGTCAAGGCCCATGGCTGGGATGTGGGCCAGTCCCCCAGTAGGGGGCATGGAAGAGGCAACCACACATTGATGTTTCTCTTCCTCCCTTCCTCTCTCCCTAAAAATAAATAAGTAAAATCTTTTAAAGTTTTTCTTAAAAAAATGAAGTATATCCTTTAATGTAGGTCTCATGGTGGTAAACTCTCAGTTGTGTTTATCTACAAATGACTATTTCATCCCCATCCTTGAATAATAGTTTTGCTGGGTTCACGGCTATAGGCTATTGTGTTCTCCCAGCCCTTTGAAAGTAGGACTGTAGCTGATGAGTTTACGGTAATTGTCATTCCTCTGTGGATGTTTCCTCTATGTCTTAATATTGCTTTCAAAGGACAATGCTGTGGCAGAGGTGGGGGGAATTGAATGCGGGGGGTGAGCAGGGCAGGGGAGAGCAATGGGGGGTGGAAATGGGGACAACTGTAATTGGACAACAATAAAAAAACTAAAAAATATATTGCTTTCATAATTTCCATTTACTCTGGGCCAATCTTCTATTTCACTCAATTAAGTTTTTAAAAAATTTCAGTGGTATCTCATTTCTGTAGGTTCCCATCTTTCAGGTTCATACATTCATTTCTAATAATCTTCTTTTGGAAGTAAAACAGTTTTAATTTTTAAAAGTTTGGTTGGGTGCAAAGAGCCAGGCTGGGACAGATATAACTGGTATTTGAATAACTGGATAAATTGAGAGAAGGGCAAATAGGTTTTGATGGCTGTGCCTAAGTGTATGCCTTTCTTTAAAGGCTATTTTGTAGGGCAGTTTTAGGTTCACAACAAAATCCAGGGGGAGGTACAGAGATTCCCCATATGCCACAGCCCTGCTCATGCACAGCCTTCCCCGTTGCCAACACGATGTGTGCATCTTTTATTTATTTAAATACATAGTTGTTCTGTATCACATCTCTGACCTTTCTAATATCTACAGTCTTTGAGGGATTGAATTTGTGCTCACTAATTACTTTTTCCTATGTTTGCTGATTTGGATCGTGAGCTCGTTGCCTGGTTTTAATTGGTGGGGATCCTGTGAGCCTGACTGGGAATTGAGCAGTCTGTCTTCTTGCCAAGATAACCCCACGAATTCGCTCTGGCCCCTCTGGAGTGTCTGCGCTCAGCACTGTAATCCCAGGCTTTCCTTCCGGTGCTCAAGGCAGGCCCCGCACTCATTTTCCTGAGTACTCACAACTGCCCTTAAGCAAGTCAACCCTACAGTCGTCAATCACTTGCAGTGTCCCAGAGGCACAAGCTTGAAGTCACTCTGAGCTCAGCTCATGTATCCTGTTCTTATTCTGCTTATTAAATTAAACTAATTAACTAATTAAATTTAATTCTTAGAAGGAGAGACCTTGCAGATTTCCCGTACCTCTGGTGATGCCAGAAATTTCTCAAATAGAATCATTCCCAGTGTTTGGTTACTACACAAAAAATGGGCCTCTTGGAGCTCCCAGTAAATTTTATTGGAGAAGTCGACCTGAAATATTTTTTAGTAAAAAATAGCATCTAGTATAATTCTACATTTATAAAAGTGATTTCTCTCTGGCTATACATCTTTTGATATGTGTGTATGGGATAGAAAGATACCAACACCCAGAATTCATGTTCATTTGATATTAGTTATGGGTATTACTGAGTGATGGGATTGGAAGTGATTGATTCCTTTTAATGAGCCTGTACTGTTTTTATAAGAATAAAGTGATTTTTCTGAAACAAAAACAAAAGGAAAAAAAGGGGCAGACTGGAAGCAACTATTCCTAATATATTAATAGTGGTTGGTTTAGGCTGGTAGGGATATAAGCTACTGTTATTTTCTTTTTCTTACATTTGTTTATTTTTAAATTTAAAAAAATCACTGCTTGACATCCATCCATGAAACATTTGAGTAGCGACCACCATTTGTACCGTAAGTCATCGACTGCATGTGATAAGGCAACCGAGTGTGACTCCACATGACCTCTGTGAACACAAAGTTCATTGTGGGAACTGCAATGCTGACATCATTGTTTTGCTTGGAAAAGCGTGACACTGCCCTGAAGTGTAACTTTTGGTCCAACAGGAATCACACCAGTTCTAGGGAAATACTTCCATGACATACACGAGAGTAATCCTTCTCTAACACAGGTAAAGTTCCCCTGCAAAAAATACTGCC